GGACTCAAATCCTGCAGTGCAAGACGTGTCCCCCTGCTTAAGCCAGTACATGTCCAGGCCTGTCTGAAGTTTGCTAGAGTGCATTTGGATGATCCAGAAGAGGATTGGGAGAATGTCATATGGTCAGATGAACCAAAATAGAACTTTTTGGTAAAAACTCGTGTTTGGAGGACAAAGAATGCTGAGTTGCATCCAAAGAACACCATACCTACTGTGAAGCATGGGGGTGGAAACATCATGCTTTGGGGCTGTTTTTCTGCAAAGAGACCAGGACGACTGATCCGTGTAAAGGAAAGAATGAATGGGGCCATGTATCGTGAGATTTTGAGTGAAAACCTCCTTCCATCAGCAAGGGCATTGAAGAGGAAACGTGGCTGGGTCTTTCAGCATGACAATGATCCCAAACACACCGCCCGGGCAACGAAGGAGTGGCTTCGTAAGAAGCATTTCAAGGTCCTGGAGTGGCATAGCAAGTCTCCAGATCTCAACCCCATAGAAAATCTTTGGAGGGAGTTGAAAGTCTGTGTTGCCCAGCGACAGCCCCAAAACATCACTGCTCTAGAGGAGATCTGCATGGAGGAATGGGCCAAAATACCAGCAACAGTGTGTGAAAATCTTTTGAAGACTTACAGAAAACGTTTGACCTGTGTCATTGCCAACAAAGGGTATATAACAAAGTATTGAGAAACTTTTGTTATTGACCAAATACTTATTTTCCACCATAATTTGCAAATAAATTCATTAAAAATCCTACAATGTGTTTTTCTGGATTTTTTTTCTCAATTTGTCTGTCATAGTTGACGTGTACCTATGATGAAAATGACAGGCCTCTCTCATCTTTTTAAGTGGGAGAACTTGCACAATTGGTGGCTGACTAAATACTTTTTTCCCCCCACTGTATATACAGTACCAGTCAAAAGATTGGACACACCTGCTCATTCAAGGGTTTTTCTTTATTTTTACTATTTTCTACATTGTAGAATAATAGTGAAGACATCAAAACTATGAAATAACACATATGGAATCATGTAGTAACAAAAAAAGTGTTAAACAAATCAAATAGCCACCCTTTGCCTTGATGACAGCTTTGCAAATTCTTGGCATTCTCTCAACCAGCTTCATGAGGTAGTCACCTGGAATGCATTTCAATTAACAGATCTTAAAAGTTAATTGGTGGAATTTATTTCCTTCTTAATGCGTTTGAGCCAATCAGTTGTGTTGTGAAAAGGTAGGGGGGGTATACAGAAGATAGCCCTATTTGGTAAAATACCAAATCCATATTATGGCAAGAACATCTCAAATAAGCAAAGAGAAACAACAGTCCATCATTACTTGAAGACATGAAGGTCAGTCAATACTGAATATTTCAAGAACTTTGAAAGTTTCTTCAAGTGCAGTCACAAAAACCATGAAGCGCTATGATGAAACTGGCTTTCTTGAGGACCGCCACAGGAATGGAAGACCCAGATTTACCTCTGCTGCTGAGGATACGTTCATTACAGTTACCAGCCTCAGAAATTGCAGCCCAAATAAATGCTTCACAGAGTTCAAGTAACAGACACATCTCAACATCAACTGTTCAGGGGGGACTGTGTGAATCAGGCCTTCATGGTCGAACTGCTGCAAAGAAACCACTACTAAAGGACACCAATAAGAAGAAGAGACCGGCTTGAGCCAAGAAACGCGAGTGATGGACATTAGACGGGTGGACATTTGTCCTTTTGTCTGGAGTCCAAATTGGAGATTTTTGGTTCAAACCGCCATGTCTTTGTGAGACGCGGTGTGGGTGAACGGATGATCTCTGCATGTGTAGTTCCCACCGTAAAGCATGGAGGAGGAGGTGTTATGGTGTGGGGGTGCTTTGCTGGTGACACTGTCTGTGATTTATTTAGAATTCAAGGCACACTTAACCAGCATAGCTACCACAGCATTCTGCAGCGATACGCCATCCCATCTGGTTTGGGCTTAGTGGGGCTATCATTTGTTTTTCAACAGGACAATGACCCAACACACCTACAGGCTGTGTAAGGGCTATTTTACCAAGAAGGAGAGTGATGGAGTGCTGCATCAGATGACCTGGCATCCACAATCCCCCGACCTCAACCCAATTGAGATGTTTTGGGATGAGTCGGACGGCAGAGTGAAGGAAAAGCAGCCAACAAGTACTCAGCATATGTGGGAACTCCTTCAAGACTGTTGGAAAAGCATTCCAGGTGAAGCTGGTTGAGAGAATGCCAAGAGTGTGCAAAGCTGTCATCAAGGCAAAGGGTGGCTATTTGAAGAATCTCAAATATAAAATATATTTGGATTTGTTTAACACTTTTTTTATTACTACATGATTCCATATGTGTTATTTCATAGTTTTGATGTCTTCATTATTATTCTACAATGTAGAAAATAGTAAAAATAAAGAAAAACCCTTGAATGAGTAGGTGTGTCCAAACTTTTGACTGGTACTGTATATAAACTCCCAGTAATTTATTGGGTAAACAACCAACGTTTCAGCATCTTCTTCTTATTTGTCAAAATGGTCCATCCTCTCTCCCACTCTTTCTCTCAATTAAATTAATACAAAAGGCTTAATTGGCATGGAGAATGTAACCATATATATATATATTCTCTCTCTCTCTCTCTCTCTCTCTCTCTCTCTCTCTCTCTCTCTCTCTCTCTCTCTCTGTATGTGTCCTTCTCTTTTACTGTCTCTCTCTCTCACTGTCTGCCGCTCTATAGCTCACTCTTGATCTCTCTCTTGTGACAGGCCATTGACAGGCCAAAATAGTAAAAATAAAGAAAAACCCTTGAATGAGTAGGTGTGTCCAAACTTTTGACTGGTACTGTAAATAGAGTGTGCAACTCTATTTATTTGTATGACAAATAAATGGGTAGCAGTCCCTGGCCCATCCCACCCGTCCCATGATCCCTGGGCAATAATTATCAGAAGAGATCAGTTGTCGATTCTTCTTGACAGCAACCCTGCCCCAGGCCCTTCCTGCTTTTACCCACCCAGCACGGGAAGCATTGACCGGATGCTCGGAGTAGATGGAAATAGAACAAGAAACAGGGCACCCACTTTGAAACAAACAAGCTATTGGATTTAGGGGATCGAACAGTAAGATGTCAGGCTATAGCACATATATCCTATAGCTCATATCCGTTCCACCTCCTCCCCGTCCCTTTCTACTCCGACGAGTCCATATTGTCATTCAGTCGCAGCACACAGCAGTATATTTGTGGTTTACAATGATAGTTTGATGTGGTACGGGGTGATGGTTTGACGTTTGAAAATGGTTAACTGGCATTATGTAAGGCAAGCCCTAGCATTGTTTTTTTTAACAGGACATAACTTTCATTAATTGCTATTCCAAGCAAATGAAACTGTTCCACCTGACCATTCACTTGTTTGACTTGTTCAGCAGAGTCTTGTCACAGCAGGGTTAAAACATCCAGGATGTAGCACTGCATTTGAATCTAGTAGTATAGCATTCATGATAACCATTTGAAATGTTGACAGAGATTTGTCTTGTCTTGCCCATGGCAATGTGAGTTCCATTGCCCCACTGAGAGTGTACTTGTTCATTCACTGAGAGTAACATGGCTGATGTGGGTTACCAGTGACCCTGTTTGACAATGCTATAGAGCAGGGTTGTGATGTGGACTACTAGTGACCATGCTTGACAATGCTATAGAGCAGGGTTGCTTTGAAGCTTCACAAACTGGTGCTTATGTTCAGAATGCCTCTAAGCAAGTGAAACACATGCACATGCTCACACATGCATGCACGCACGCACGCACACACACACACACACACACACACACACACACACACACACACACACACACACACACACTGTAAACACAGGTTTGAGGAAAGGTCAGTGTTCAGCTCAGGTACCCGTTGTGGGCGAAGAGTGACAGGCCATTAGAAATAATCACAGTTTCCATGGAGACCTGTGCTGGAGATTGCTCCAAAGCAGAGTACCATGCTGTGCAACAGCAGTATGCCTACTGTTTGTCTGTATGTGACTGTGCCTCTGTGTCTGTGTTACGGAATGATAATTTTCTCAGATGTGTGGATGTTTTCTGAGAGAAGAAGAGAGCAATCACTTCAATGTTTTCCTCTTGAGCCTCTGATTCAGCCTTGACTCTGCTCTTGCTGCCTGCCCTCACCCCACCAGCATGCCCTGCCACAGCCAAGCGTCCATCCCAGGATCAATGGACAGCCAACGTCACGGAAACGGGTGGATTGGCCCAATAGATTAGAGGGAGGTCTGAAAAAAAGTGGTTCCGTTTGTATCAGTATTTCCTTTTGGAATGACAGCTCGAGCCCTCTGTTACTCTTGCTGTGGGACCAGCACGGGGGGGGGGGGGGCTTCAGAGCTTTAAACTTCTGCCTGCTGAAGCCTGCCCTGCCTGAGGCTGTACCGCTAACTCTACTACCGACACCACTTACACCTCTGTCTGCGCCGATGGGAGGATAGCAGCAGTGTGACATTTCTCTTCCGCTTTTGATATGTATTGGGGCAAATTATAAGGACGCTGAGAAGATAAATATCTGTTTTTAGTATTTTTTTGTCTGACCTTTTCTCCACACTTTTTCCCTCGTTTCCATTCTTAGAACTCCAAAGGGAATCCTCACATGGTATAGTGGATTTCCAGTGACAACAGCTAGTCCAGAATAGGACCTATAGAATCAACTCTGGGGCAGCCAGCGAGAAAACGCCTGACAAAAAACATATTAAAAAACCTCACCTGAACTCATAGTAGTCTGCAAAGTGGACATAGCCTTTTGGTAACCAGCAGCCACTACACCAGCTTTGCTTGTGCTCCAGCTCCTGTTCCTGACGAATAACACAGAAGACGCCCAGGCTTGGCTGACAGCTAACACCAACCCCTCGGCGAGAGACGGCAGGTGAGAGAACGCCAGAACCCTGGATGAGCAGGGCGCCCACCTGGAGCAGGGTGGGGAGGAGGCACCACAGACACCGGCGCCGACCCAGGAGATGACAGACCCTGTGGGGCAAGAGAACAAGGGACCACCAGCCCCCTCTTCGGAGGAGGTGGTTGGAGACAAACATCCCTATTCAGAAGGGACCAACACCAAGGCAACCACCAACGTTCACCGACCAGGGACCTTGGGCACCTCACCCCGGTGTCCCCCTGTGCTCCTCCGGCATAGCGAGGGAGCAGAGGTTGTGCGCCGCGCCTCTCAGTTCAACATGGAGGGCTTGGAAGACTTTGAGGAGTTTGTTTTTGATTTCGACGACTATGACCTGCTGGAGTCCATCCATGACCACCTGGGGTCCCCTGAGGACCCAGACCCCCTGGAGCCCATCCGTAAGTACCAGGGCTCCCACCTCCCAGAGGGAAGCAGTGTGTGGCCATGGAAGAATGGACAACACTTCACAACAAATTCCCCAGTGTTGAAAGTGTGGACCCTTATAGACACTGAACAGTGTTGAATTAACACACTGCTTAGTGCTTGTTGCATTCATCCATTTTCAGTCCTATGGACTTCACCGAGTGAGATCCTAAGTGAATATGTTATCATAACCATGTAATTATTTAACCCATTTCGTATTTAACCCACTCATATGTATTTTATAAGGCCTTATTTTGAGGGCTTACAATAAAAAAACTACTGGGTTGTTTGGATGACCCAACTGCTGGGTTGCAGGCATTTTTAAAAAGAGCAAGGTTGGTTTGTTGAGGCTGGGTTATTGAGATATGACCAAGCGGGTCAGATCAGAAGACTGGAGGCTTGGCTTAGTAGGGGTGTGGATTTCAGGAAGTTATTTTTAGCCACCTGTGAGAGTAAATGTCATTCCGGTTCATCGGTTATGTTGAATTGTTATGACATGTTATGGTCAAACACTAACTCTACTGTAGCTTTAATGAAGCTTACAGAAATGTATGGTTAAATTAACCGAATGGCGCAGTGGTCTACGGCACTGCATCGCAGTGCTAGCTGTGCCACCAGAGATCCTGGTTCGAATCCAGCCTCTGTCGTAGCTGGCCGCGACCGGGAGACCCATGGGGCGGTGCACAATTGGCCCAGCGTCGTCCAGGTTAGGGGAGGGAATGTCTGGCAGGGATGTAGCTCAGTTGGTAGAGCATGGCATTGCAACGCCAGGGTTGTGGGTTCGTTTCCCATGGGGGGCCAGTATGAAAAAAATAATAAGGTTTTGTTTGAACTGTGGTTATGTTACACTAATGTTTAGAGTTTAGGCCCTCAAAATAATGAAATACATTAATGTTTGTATTGTGTTATATAATTTTATTTTAATGATAACATATACGCTCAGGATCTCACTTGGTGAAGTTCTGAGGACTGAAAATGGCTGAATGCAACAACCATGTCTCTGTCACTAACAAATACAGTCATGGGTGGTAACTCTACAATTCACTTGAAATGCTCTCTGCAAAACAAGGCTTTACACCAAGCAGTGTGTTAAAGGTCATGAAGAGTCAAAATCATGTTTGTCATGACATTTTATGATATTTGGATGAAACCAGATCAATGTATGATGACCAAAGTATGAAAAATGACTGTTACTTCTGCATTGATAAAGTTTGATCATAAAGTTGCTGGTCCCCTCCCCCATGTGAAACACTTGGATTCAGGAGGCTGGATTATTATTATCATTTTAATACACCAGTGGTAACATGATATTCTCTTACCAAATTTAAATAAGTACTGGCTTGTAACCAACATTGGCGAAGGCGTATTTGCGGAGAGGCGTGGTTTATATAGCTAGATAGCTACTCTACTGGTGCAATCATTTGAATGTAGGTGTCAGCAAATATAATTAAAAGTTTAAACTATTCATTCATGGCAAAGATACTTATATGTCTCCCCTTTCATCTGTGTCTGGTGTTAGCTAGTTACTGGCTAGCTAGGTCTTCAGCCAGCATGGAACAAAAAGGGGGGAAGGTCGTTCAAAACTCTGATGCAGTTGTCATGTCAACATATCCGTCAGTGCTGCTGTGAACCACATCACAACAGACATGCCAAATGGGAGGTGTAAAAGAATTGACATAATTTATGCAATTGTAATATTGTTTGAGTTGCTTTGTGTATCGCCAGATTCTCATGAGATGATTTTACTGCAACGCTGCGCACTGCATCCAAGTTTCTTAACATAAGCATTTCAAAGAGCTGTCAGTAAAGGCGAGCTCATTAATATAAGATCCCTGCCCACTCAGCCTATTTTCAAGCTTCCTGTTAGTTAGCCATGAGAGAAAAAATAATTTTTCAAAAAAACAACAACATTTCTATCACCCAAAAATATTATGGATGATATTTTAGTCACTCAAAAGGCTATTTTACATGGGAATCAGAATAACTGTTTGGGACCTTTAATTTAACACTGTTCCATTGGTCTATACAGGTCAATATTTTAGTCACTCAAAAGGCTATTTTACATGGGAATCAGAATAACTGTTTGGGACCTTTAATTTAACACTGTTCCATTGGTCTATACAGGTCAACACTTTCAGTGTTAATTTAACACTCAGCATTTGCTGTGTTGGTATTATGTTGACCTTGTTTTAGGCTATGATAACTGTGTAACATACTGTAACATACAGTTGAAGTCGGAAGTTTACATACACTTAGGTTGGAGTCATTCAAACTCGTTTTTCAACCACTCCACAAATGTCTTGTTAACAAACTATAGTTTTGGCAAGTCGGTTAGGACATCTACTTTGTGCATGACACAAGTAATTTTTCCAACAATTGTTTAGAGATGGATTATTTCACTTATAATTCACTGTATCACAATTCCAGTGGGTCAGAAGTTACATACACTAAGTTGTGTGACTGTGGCTTTAAACAGCTTGGAAAATTCCAGAAAATGATGTCATGGCTTTAGAAGCTTCTGATAGGCTAATTGACATCATTTTAGTCAATTGGAGGTGTACCTGTGGATGTATTTCAAGGCCTACCTTCAAACTCAGTGCCTCTTTGCTTGACATCATTGGAAAATCAAAATAAATCAGCCAAGACCTCAGAGAAAAACTGTACATACAGTTGAAGTCGGAAGTTTACATACACCTTAGCCAAATACATTTAAACTCAGTTTTTCACAATTCCTGACATTTAATCCTAGTAACAATTCCATACGGGTCTTAGGTCAGTTAGGATCACCACTGTATTTTAAGAATGTGAAATGTCAGAATAATAGTAGAGAGAATGATTTATTTCAGCTTTTATTTATTTCATCACATTCCCAGTGGGGTCAGAAGTTTACATACACTCAATTAGTATTTGGTAGCATTGCCTTTAAATTGATTAACTTGGGTCAAACGTTTCGGGTAGCCTTCCCCAAGCTTCTCACAATAAGTTGGGTGAATTTTGTCCCATTCCTCCTGACAGAGCTGGTGTAACTGAGTCAGGTTTGTAGGCCTCCTTGCTCGCACACGCTTTTTCAGTTCTGCCCACAAATGTTCTATAGGATTGAGGTCAGGGCTTTGTGATGGCCACTCCAATACCTTGACTTTGTTGTCCTTCAGCCATTTTGCCACAACTTTGGAAGTATGCTTGGGGTCATTGTCCATATGGAAGACCCATTTGCGACCAAGCTTTAACTTCCTGACTGATGTCTTGAGATGTTGCTTCAATATATCCACATAATTTTCCTTCCTCATGATGCCATCTATTTTGTGAAGTGCACCAGTCCCTCCTGCAGCAAAGCACCCCCACAGCATGATGCTGCCACCCTGTGCTTCACGGTTGGGATGGTGTTCTTCGGCTTGCAAGCGTTCCCCTTTTTCCTCCAAACATAATGATGGTCATTATGGCCAAACAGTTATATTTTTGTTTCATCAGACCAGAGGACATTTCTCCAAAAAGTATGATATTCGTCCCCATGTGCAGTTGCAAACCGTAGTCTGGCTTTTTTATGGCGGTTTTGGAGCAGTGGCTTCTTCCTTGTTGTGCGGCCTTTCAGGTTATGTCAATATAGGACTCGTTTTACTGTGGATATAGATACATTTCTACCTGTTTCCTCCAGCATCTTCACAAGGTCCTTTGCTGTTGTTCTGGGATTTATTTGCGCTTTTCGCACCAAAGTACGTTCATCTCTAGGAGACAGAACGCGTCTCCTTTCCATACTAACGAATGGAGAATGTGTGTCTGAAGTGGTGGAATAGCACTCTACCCTTTTGGTGGAAAGTCCTGACATTGGTAATTGATTAGTGAGAATTCAGAGTTGTTTTTATTGATTGTATGAAGAGACAAACACAAGCTAATTACAGCCAATGCTTGGTTGGCCTGGCAGTGGAGGTGGGGAAATCAAAGCTCTCTCAAGTCCCGGGTCATGGGTGAATTGGAACCCTCTCTACCCCTCGCTGCTAAACTATTGATAGTGTGGCCCCTGTTCGGCCCTGGGCCCCTCCATTACTGGAGCGGAAAGAAATCCCATTGACAAACTATACTGTTGTTTTTATGACTGGCATTGGATTTGGACACTTCCGCAGTAGTGCTGTGAGGGTTAGCTAGGTGCTGGTCGCAATTACATTGTGGGACTGGTGTCCAGTGACGACCAGAATGGACCCAAAGAGCTCATCAGAGAGTGAAAAAGGGAGAAATACAGGTATCAGCAGACAGGTATCAAGAGAGGTATCATCTGTTTTCTGGTTCATCATCTAGTTTCTTTGGTTGACTTTTGTGATGTCTCTCTGCCCCTCTGTATAGATATTACATACTGAATATACGTTACACCATCCATGGGGTACGTATAGGGGCGATAAATGGGTTACCTAAGGGATATAAACAGCTACAGAGCATTCCCAGAGATACAAAAGAGAAGGGACAAGGGTTACTAATGGGAGAGAGCCCATAGAGGAGTCACCTATTGGTCATTCACAACCACATCAAATTGCAAACCTTGCTAGTGACCGTAGCTACTGGAGGAAGCTTGTGGTCAACTGTGTTGCAGCTGAACGTTGATGATGTTGATTAATCAATATCTCAATTGTCCTGATTGGGAAAGTCACTCTGCTGCCAGGAATTGACAATATACAAGATGTATAAACCACATATACACATTATTCACTAAAAGGCAATAGAGGGGCTACAGAGAGAGCAGTGGGGGAATACAGAATGAGTTGACATGAGTTCCACACTAAGGGGCAATAGAGGATTCACAGAGGGAGAAGCTGCTTGGGGTGCTACAGAGGGCATTGGAGATACAGACACTGGTCGCTTAATATGGCAAATAATTGGGGTTACCGAGGGCATACACTATGTTCAGTACTGTGTTAGTCTGTATAAAATATTTTCCATCCAGACTGGTAATTGTAGAATCGAAAACAAAGGGAGCAGAGAGGGAGAAAAGTGGGGTTGTCGAGGGCATACTCAGTGGCACAAATAGGGCACAGAAGGGGCACAGAGGGAGAGAAGTGGGGTTATATAGGGCATAGGAGGGGGCATAGAGTGCAGATAGGGTCTGTAGAAGGGGCATTCAGAAGCTACTCAAGAGCACAGGTAATACTTTGGGAAGTTATGATGATGATGACTTGAATTAACATTTACATATAACAGTTACATGCATATTGTAGCGACCTTAACCCAACACCTATCGACCTCGCCAAGAGGTTTTGATCTTTTGACGTAACGGCTAAGATGTTGGGTTGACAGTTGTTGGACCCGTGTTCGAGTTCCATGTCGGGGATACCCCCAAATTATGCACGGGAAAGTGTTAACACCAACACTAGGGTTATTTTACTCCAATGAGTGTTAATTCAACACTTACAGAGTTAATTGTTATGTTTAGAGTGTAGGGCCTCAGGAAATACATTGTAATATGTTAAATAATATGATTTTAATGACAACATTCACTTAGGATTGCACTTGGTGAAATTCATTGGACTGAACATTGATGAATGCAACAAGCATGTCTCTGTCGCTAACAAATTCAGTCATGGGTGGTAACTCTACAATTTACTCGAAAGGCACTCTGGGAAATATGCAAATAAAGCTTTAGTTCAACACTGTTCAGTGTCTATATGGGTCCACATTTTCATTTTTCATTTAACACTGGGGAATTTGATGTGCACTTTACAAGCAGCAGAATAACTTTTATTTAGTTAGCAAAGCTCAGAGTGAGTCCAGCCAAAGGGCATCTCTGCCAGTTCAATACCAAGTTATCCCTGGGAGCACTCCAAGACCTGTTAGCATAGAGCGTTTCTTATTATGATTATATTGTCTGAACAACACCACATAAAGAAGAATGAAAGAATAGGATGGAAGGATGAACTTGGGGTCAGAGGGATGGAGGATGAGAGAGGGAACAAAACAACTTGTCTCCTACACTTTGTTTATGGTACACTCTGTGGTGGGTGTGACTACAACACAACACAAAGCAGCTGAGGCCTAGAGGTGGTCTGGCCTTCTCCCCAGAGTGTCTGCAAAACCAGCCCTTTGATTGGCAGTGTAACTAGCATCTACCCACACACACACACGCATGCACACACACACACGCACACACACACCCTTGTCCTTAGAGCGCCATCTTCCTCGTTCCACTCCCATCGCCAGGCCCCGCTCCTAGGGAGTAGACAGCATCAATTACGCGAAATTCAATAAAATATGGTTTGTGGCCTGAAGAACTTCAAATTGAATCAGGCTTTTTTAGCCTCTGAAGGTCTGTGGTGGGCGAAAAAACACCCAACATAACGACCCCTGTCTGTTTGCCTAGCTGGGGACCGATCCTCTGTTACCCCATGTACCTATTGCGTGCCTAATTTCAATTTTCTCTTTATTTCCCATGGAAAATTTAAAGGGGCAATCGACAATCATGATATGTACCCATTGATTCTTGAAGTACCCCGACAGAACCCCAAATATAAGCTTGTTTTGCTCCAATGTTTGTAAGCAAAGTAAATGTAAATAAACACTATAGCCTCAAAACATGAATTTGAGATTGGTTACATTTCTCCAGCCCCATTCCTCAGCTTTTTACTGAAACAGGGGCAGGGAGTACGCTTTGTTATTGTTTCAACTGCTATTGCGCCTTTAATAAACATCAATAATCAGATTAATGTATTATTCTCTGTCATAAAACATAGCTCCCCCATAGAGACAGTACTCAGCCAGTCTTTTGCCTAGTACACACAGGTTGTATAACACATTTGACATAAGAGTTGTGATACCTGCACAACATTTTTTTGACACCACACAACGGTTGTGTTGTGCAGACAAATAAAAACAAATGGCAAATGCGTCATACAACCTGAGTGTGTACTATACTAGGCCTTTGTGTGAACACAGTTTACCTTTTCTGCAGCTGACCTCCCAGTGTCGTTAACAATAGCTCCTGTTGTTGTGCTTTAAGGTCACCGGTTCGAGGACAACCCTGGGGTGAGGCGTCACCTGGTGAAGAAGTCCTCTCGATGCCAGCTCCTCCAGAACACCAACAGCTCTTCGCAACTGTCCAGCGTGAAGAAGAAGAGGACGGCTGACAAGAAGACCCATGAGGTGAGAGATCAAACTCCACGGCACCAGTTGATTGGTTAATTGATTGATTGGAAATATTAAATCATTAAAAACATATGATCTTCCTAGTAATTGTTTGCTAAAGATTTTGCAGATCTAAAGCCAGGGGACTTCACTTTACAGTTGGAGTCATGACATAACCCTTCAGTCATAACCTTTAGGAGATATATTTTGAGACTGTATAATCTAATCAGTGACCTTTGGAACATATTTTCTAACTTTGTTTACTATTTCTATCAAAGTGTTATCTGAGTAGCTCCCTTGTATCCCATTTGTATGATATCATGGTCTGGCAAAGGAGGGATCGCCGTCTATTTGGTCCCTTTAATGTTCCAGGAAGGTTGGAGCTAACATCGATTCTGTTAGCTTGCTGTGTGCTCCAAGAACATTCCTTGCAGAAACATTTAATTAAGCCTCCTACAGTGCAAACGCACATATGTAAATTAGACCAAAATAAAACGTTTTCCTTTTCATAGACTTGAATAGAATTGAATTAGAATTGAATACCAACATTCACTTAGATCCCAGTCAATAGATCCAACAGATTTTCTACTTCTTTCTCAGTTCTTGGACTTAAAAAAAAAGAAAAGAAAAAGAAAGGATGAGCCATATTTGAAGTCATGGATAACTAGGTGTCTGTTTGGTCCCTATAGGTGTTTGTGGAGCTCAATGAGCTGATAGTGGATAAGAACCAGGAAATGCGCTGGAAGGAGATGGCCCGTTGGATCAAGTTTGAGGAGGATGTGGAGGAGGAGACGGACCGCTGGGGAAAACCCCACGTGGCCTCGCTTTCCTTCCGCAGCCTGCTGGAGCTCCGCAGGACCATCACACATGGTGACGCCCTCACCACACACACAAACATACAGATACACACACAGTCACAAACTTACTACTGATAAAACTTTGAAATTCCACTACAAATATGTGCCCTTCTCTCTCCCCCTGCCTTCCCCCATAAGGTGCCGTCCTGTTGGACCTGGAGCAGACCACCTTGCCTGGCATTGCCCATCTGGTGGTGGAGACCATGATCATCTCAGACCAGATCAGAGCAGAGGACCGTGCCAACGTGCTCCGCGCCCTGCTGCTCAAACACCAGTGAGTGGTCAGCTGCCCAGGCTTTTGCTCAGAGAGCTAAACCACAAAAAAATAAGACGCCACATCCTCTTATACAGTGCATTTGGAAAGTATTCAGACCCCTTCACTTTTCCCACATTTTATTACGTTACAGCCTTATTCTAAAATTTATTAAATACATTTTTTTCCTCATCAATCTACACACAATACCCCATAATGACAAAGCGAAAACAGGTTTTTTGATTTTTTTGCAAATGTATTAAAAATAAAAAACAGAAATACCTTATTTACGTAAGTATTCAGACCCTTTGCTATGAGACTCGAAATTGAGTTCACATCTCTGGAGAGACCTGAAAATAGCAGTGCAGCGACACTCCCCATCCAACCTGAGAGAACTTGAGAGGATCTGCAGAGAAGAATGGGAGAACCTCCCCAAATACAGGTGTGCCAAGCTTGTAGCATCATACCCAAGAAGACTCAAGGCTGTAATTGCTTCCAAAGGTGCTTCAACAAAGTACTGAGTAAAGGGTCTGAATACTTACGTAAATGTGATATTTCAGTTATAACATTTTTTATAAATGAGCAAAAATGTATAAAAACCTGCTTTTTGCTTTGTCATTATGTGGTATTGTGTGTAGATTGATGAGAAGAATGTGGAAAAAGTGGTCTGAATACTCTCCGAATTCACTGTATACAATATATTTGTTTATCCTCATCCCTAAGTCTCCATCAGATCTCATACAGAGAATGGAAGCCCATGGCTGTGTCCCGAATGGCAGCATATTCCATATGGCAAGGCTCTCCAACCCTGTTCCTGGAGAGCTACCGTCCTATAAATTCAGGACGGTAGCTCCAACCCTAGTCTAGGTCACCTCCAATCCTAATCTAGGTCACCTGATTCTAATAATCTGCTGTAATAATCTGCTGGTTAATAAGACAAATCAGGTTAGTTACAACTGGGGTTGGAGTGAAAACCTACAGGAGGGTAGCTCTCCAGGAACAGGGTTGGAGAGCCCTGCCCTATGTAATCCACATAGGGCTCTGTGGCTCTGGTCAAAAGTTGTTCACTATTTAAGGAGTAAGGTGCCATTTGGGATGCATATAGGGATTACAGTAAGTGATGTTGGACCTACAACCAAATGATAGAATAAGTAGTGGGAGATCAATAGTAAATAGCATTGATTATTACCCTACATAGCCCAGATAAAACATTTTTTAAAATCTCACTTGACAGAGACAGGTCAATCTCAATGTGACTTCCCTGGTTAAATAAAGGATCACACTGTTTTAAATCATCCAAACAATTTAAATCATTTCGGTCCTAGATGAAAATACTAAAGAGTATCACCCCAACGCCAATCACCCTCTTCCCCTCCAGCCTCCGTTGGTTTATCTATCCAGTCTCCAATTAGTCCTTTTGAAGTTTTTCTTGGTAAGCCCTTTTGTTGGTTTATCTATCTATTGATCTACAGTACATCACCTTGTGTTCTTTACCACCACAGCACATGTGCCCTAACAGTGCTGCTGCATTGACGGCACATGACAGAGTTCACCAAGACTTATATATGGGGAGAAAATACTTGATGAATGTCAGCAGTCAATTTGAAATAAAGGCTGAGGGATGAGCAGCATGAGCATATGAATGAAGGATAAAGGAGGACTTTTCCTATTTGTATTTTGTTGCCTTCAATGTGGTGGCTTGCCATAGTTGAATACAACCCAGGAAGTCGCCTTAAGTTGGGACACAGGCCTCATTCCAACATACGCATGCATAAACACATGCACACTCACTCACGCACGCACACACACACACACACACGCACACACACCTTTCAAATTTGTGTGAACTCTCCCTTCTATCTGTCTCTGTACTCAGATTCAGTTTTCCTAGGCCCAGCTTGGTCCCTAGGCCCAGCTTGGTCCCAGCTCCCGACTCAAGCCCTCCAGTAAAGAAGAGAACAGAATGGTACCATGTTTGGCCATTAACAGTATTAACTTTGCATGGTGTCTCGAGGTACTCTGTGGTGGAACATTAATGGTTTGCAGAGACTCATCAGTCATGGTTTTCTTACTAATGTTGTGGTGTGTTCCTGGGTTTGCTTCAAGCAATCATCAATTTTTATCTTAATGGTATGCCTTTTGGATGATGGGATGAAGTAATGGATACTAGGCCTATTGCGATCAGTGTCTGAAGTTGATTGATTGTTGTGTTATATTAGTGTGTTCTTTTATACCTGTTGCTACTACGCCGCAGCCCGTCTGGTGTTCAACCTTCCCAAGTTCTCTCATGTCACCCCCCTCCTCTGCACACTCCACTGGCTTCCAGTTGAGGCTCGCATCTACTACAAGACCATGGTGCTTGCCTACGGAGCTGTGAGGGGAACGGCACCTCCTTACCTTCAGGCTCTGATCAGAACAAGCTCCCCCAAGACGCCAGGACAGCGGAGTCACTGACCACCTTCCGGAGACACTTGAAACCCTACCTCTGTAAGGAATACCTGGAATAGTATAAAGTAACCCTTCTTCCCCCACACCCCATAAAAATACTTACATTTACATTTACATCATTTAGCAGACGCTCTTATCCAGAGCAACTTACAAATTGGTGCATTCAACTTATGATAGCCAGTGGGACAACCACCTTCTTTTTTTTTATGGGGGGTGGGGGAAGAAGGATTACTTTATACTATTCCAGGTATTCCTTAAAGCGGTAGGGTTTCAAGTGTCTCTGGAAGGTGGTCAGTGACTCCGCTGTCCTGGCGTCGTGGGGGAGCTTGTTCCACCATTGGGGTGCCAGAGCAGCGAATAGCTTTGACTGGGCTGAGCGGGAACTGTGCTTCCGTAGAGATAGGGGAGCTAGCAGGCCAGAGGTGGATGAACGTAGTGCCCTCGTTTGGGTGTAGGGTTTGATCAGAGACTGAAGGTAAGGAGGTGCCATTCCCCTCACAGCTCCGTAGGCAAGCACCATGGTCTTGTAGTAGATGCGAGCCTCAACTGGAAGCCAGTGGAGTGTGCGGAGGAGCGGGGTGACATGAGAGAACTTGGGAAGGTTGAACACCAGACGGGCTGCAGCGTTCTGGATAAGTTGTAGGGGTTTAATGGCACAGGCAGGGAGCCCAGCCAACAGCGAGTTGCAGTAATCCAGACAGGAGATGACAAGTGCCTGGATTAGGACCTGTGCCGCTTTCTGTGTAAGGTAGGGTCGTACTCTGCGAATGTTGTAGAGCATGAACCTGCAGGATCGGGTCACCGCTTTGATGTTAGCGGAGAACGACAGGGTGTTGTCCAGGGTCACGCCAAGGTACTTTGCACCTCTGGGAGGAGGACACAATGGAGTTGTCAACCGTGATGGCGAGATCATGGAGCGGGCAGTCCTTCCCCGGGAGGAAGAGCAGCTCCGTCTTGCCGAGGTTCAGCTTGATGTGGTGATCCGATATCCACACTGATATGTCTGCCAGACATGCAGAGATGCAACTCTCGCTCTCTTGAAGACGGAAAGGACATGGCCAGCGGTCATGGATGAGTTGATGAGCGAGGTGAGGTAAGGGAGAAGGTCTCTGGAAATGTTCTGGAGAAGAGAGAGGGGATAGGGTCAATCAGGCAGGTTGTTGGGCAGCCGGCCGTCACAAGTCACAAGATTTCATCTGGAGAGAGAGGGGAGAAAGAAGTCAAAGCATAGGGTAGGGCAGTGTGAGCAGGACCAGCGGTGTCATTTTACTTTAGGTTGTATTTAGCCCAGACATTGTTGTCAAAACATGGGTTGTGGTTTCATCCCAGAAATGGAACCTGCCTAGTCTGTATCTTATGGCGCCAAGTGCCAACCTCCCTGTAAGCCATGTTACACCAGGGGTCAGTGACAGGTCACCTGGCAGTCTGTCACCAACCATAGAGCAAACTCTGGGCCAGATTGAACCATTGTCAACCATTTAGACAGATGCACTGTATGTGCAGTGTGCAGCATACACACACACACACATGCACTTACACACAAACAAACACACTTTGTTGAATATATTAAACTATGTCTCTCTCTCTCTCTCTCTCTCTCTCTCTCTCTCTCTCTCTCTCTCTCTCTCTCTCTCGCTCTCTCTCTCTCTCACACACACACACACACACACACACACACACACAACACACACACAACACACAGTCATCAACACTCCGCCACCAGGCCTCGTTGCACACTCCCCATCAGTTGCAACCTTTTGGCAACATTTCCCACCATGTCACCAGCTGCTTTCCATGGGAAAAAGCTGTCTAATTGGCTGAGCCAGTCCAAGATAGGAATTTATGATGTGGAAAGAAATACATCAAGGTGGCTGTAGAATTTAGCTCATCGCTTACTCAGTCCCATTTAAAGATTCTCTGGGCGCAGCTTGAGCACAATTCGGTGTGGTGGCACACCTTGTTCTTTTGTTTTGTTGATCTATTGTGTCCAACTTGGGAGGCGGGTAACGAGACCAAACGGACCTAATGATGGAGGTTATGTCACCTCTGGACCGGAGCACGAGTGTGATCAAACTGTCTGTGTGCTGTGAGGGGCCTGGTCACACACACACACACACACACACGCAAGCACGCACGCACACACACACACACACACACACACTGCTGTGTCTTGTTAAGAGGAGTACACCCAACACAATCCAGTGTGTTCCATGGAATACAAGGAAAACTCCCAGTATGTCACCCACTTGAATAGGTTCAGTCCATTTTTGATTTCCTTGAAAGAGTTTATAACATATCCTTAATAAGAGTCTTTATAACATATTCTTAATAATAGTCTTTATGACATATCCTTAATAAGAGTCTTTATAACAAATCCTTAATAAGAGTCTTTATAACATATCCCTAATAAGAGTCTTTATAGCATATGCTTAATGAGAGTCTTCATAAGTTATCCTTAATACGAGTCTTAGGATGTTATGTAGAGGAAATGGAGGATTTGTTTCTTTTGATACTGACTGCATTAACTATCATCCACTTCTTGCATGGACGCAATAAATTATAGCATCGCAGTGCATAACAACCACTTTATATTGTATAGCAACCTTCATGAAGTTCCAGTCTTATTGCATGGCAACATCCTACTGTAATACAACCTTCTGTATCTCCTGCTTCCAGCCACCCCAACGACGAAAAGGAGGGCCTCTTCCATCGCAACCACTCTACTAATAGCCTTCTAGGCAGCTTCCACCGCAACCACAACCACATTCCCGACACAGCGCTGCCCCTTGTGGCCGAAGACCATGCAGCGGTCCACCACCACCATGACAACAAAGCACCAGAGCACGACAAAGAGGTGTTTGTGAGCTTGTTTATGAGTGGTGTGGGCAAAGTGTTGCTTGTTTGTTTAGTCTTGTACACATCTATAGGCTGGAGTGGAGATGTATGTTTAAAGGCCCAATGCAGCCGTTTTTATCTCAATATCAAATCATTTCTGGATAAGAGCATCTGCTAAATAATGTAAATGTAACCATTAAATACCTTACTGTGAATGTTTTCAATTAACATGTTATTCAATTAACATGTTAAAAAATAAACAAGAATATCTTCTTAGCAAAGGGCCATTTCTCAAGTTAAAAAAATTATAGGACTGTCTGGGAGTGGTATGAGTGGGGAGTGGAAAACTGAAAACTAGCTGTTATTGGCAGAGAGGTTTGGAACTCTCTTATTGGTCTTTTAACCTCACCAGGCAGACTAAAACTCCATCCCACCAAAACAGGCTGAAATTTCAGGCGGTCTTTTCAGCTCTAACACTAAAAGGATAATATCATAATTTTCACAATTTCACAGTATTATTACAACCTCATAGTGTGGAAATACAGTATATATAAAACACAGGAAAATCTCATATTTTGAGTGCACTGTGCCTTTTAAGCTATTGGTCCGAAACTGTTAGCTTTTTGGATCCAATTAGCATTTGATATGTGTCTGCGTCTTTGTGTCTTAGTTACAAGCCTGAATATTTGTTCAGATGGACATAATACACCTCTTCTTGGCTCAATGGCCTTGTCCATTTCCTTTGAAAACAAAAGAAGAATGGTCTGAGTAGATGATTACAAGTTCTGAGACACAGAGGATATATTGCTAAAATTCCACCTTGAAATGGAAATGCAATGCTATATGTCATATTCTATTTTTTCTCCATTGTATAGTACTGTATTTCACATACACTGAGTATGTGATATAGACTGACCAGGTGAATCCAGGTGAAAGCTATAATCCCTTTTTGATGTCACTTGTTAAATCCACTTCAATCAGTGTAGATGAAGGACAGGAGACAGGTTAAATAATGATTTTTAATGATTGAGACAACTGAGACATGGATTGTGTATGTGTACCATTCAGAGGGTGAATGGGCAAGACAAAATATTTAAGTGCCTTTGAACGGGGTATGGTAGTAGGTGCCAGGCGCACTGGTTTGTGTGTGTCAAGAGCTGCAACGCTGCTGGGTTTTTCACACTCAGCAGTTTCCCGTGTGTATAAAACATGGTGCACCACCCAAAGGACATCCAGCCAACTTGACACAACTGTGAAGTCAACATGGGCCAGCATCCCTGTGGAATGCTTTCGACATCTTATAGAGTCCATGCCCTGACGAATTGAGGCTGTTCTGAGGGCAAAAGGGTATGCAACTCAATATTAGGAAGGTGTTCCTAATGTTTTGTACACTCAGTGAATATTAGAGTGTACTAAATAATCGGCGATATGCGGCTAGTTCAGTAATGCAGCCACGGTAAAAAAAAAAAAAAACTCCCATTAGCCACTCCACATGAGATGAATTATGTTCTTAGTCAGCTTACAGGTGCTCCTTGTTAAAACTTCTTGATGCATTAACTGTGAAACTTTAATGTTCCCCGTGGCTTGAAACGTTGGCAAATTTAAAACAGCTCATAAAAATCTAAAACTCCAGTCGTATTAAAAATATTTTAAAGTGATTTTACCATTTTGTACTTTTGTCACATTTGTGTCTGCTGATGAATGTCAGATAGACACTGTTCGACTGTTTGAAGTTCATAACAGTCTGTAAAATTGACAAATGTAGGGTTTGGACAAACTAATGCCAAGGAGAGAGCCTGTGCATGTTCTGTGACTGTCTGGCAAAGCTTTTAGTTAGCACAGGCCTTACACAGGCTTAGCATGAAATACATCCTTACGTTTACGCTTCACCTGTTAAAGATTTTCTGGTTTGTGACTTCAGAAATCACATCATCCCCCCCTGCCAACGGCTCATGACCATCAGGTTACCAAACACACAAAACTCTTAGCCAAGATTCCCAAGGACGCCGAAGCAACCGTGGTCTTAGTTGGTAAGCCCAAGGACTATATACAGTGGGGAGAACAAGTATTTGATACACTGCCGATTTTGCAGGTTTTCCTATTTACAAAGCATGTAGAGGTCTGTAATTTTTATCATAGGTACACTTCAACTGTGAAGTTGAATCCAGAAAATCACATTCTATGATTTTTAAGTAATTAATTTACATTTTATTGCATGACATAAGTATTTGATACATCACAAAAGCAGAACTTAATATTTGGTACAGAAACCTTTGTTTGCAATTACAGAGATCATACGTTTCCTGTAGGTCTTGACCAGATTTGCACACACTGCAGCAGGGATTTTGGCCCACTCCTCCATACAGACCTTCTCCAGATCCTTCAGGTTTCAGGGCTGTCGCTGGGCAATACGGACTTTCAGCTCCCTCCAAAGATTTTCTATTGGGTTCAGGTCTGGAGACTGGCTAGGCCACTCCAGGACCTTGAGATGCTTCTTACGGAGGCACTTAGTTGCCCTGGCTGTGTGTTTCGGGTCGTTGTCATGCTGGAAGACCCAGCCACGACCCATCTTCAATGCTCTTACTGAGGGATGGAGGTTGTTGGCCAAGATCTCGCGATACATGGACCCATCCATTCTCCCCTCAATACGGTGCAGTTGTCCTGTCCCCTTTGCAGAAAAGCATCCCCAAAGAATGATGTTTCCACCTCCATGCTTCACGGTTGGGATGGTGTTCTTGGGGTTGTACTCATCCTTCTTCTTCCTCCAAACACGGCGAGTGGAGTTTAGACCAAAAAGCTCTATTTTTATCTCATCAGACCACATGACCTTCTCCCATTCCTCCTCTGGATCATCCAGATGGTCATTGGCAAACTTCAGACGGGCCTGGACATGCGCTGGCTTGAGCAGGGGGACCTTGCGTGCGCTGCAGGATTTTAATCCATGACGGCGTAGTGTGTTACTAATGGTTTTCTTTGAGACTGTGGTCCCAGCTCTCTTCAGGTCATTGACCAGGTCCTGCCGTGTAGTTCTGGGCTGATCCCTCACCTTCCTCATGATCATTGATGCCCCACGAGGTGAGATCTTGCATGGAGCCCCAGACCGAGGGTGATTGACCGTCATCTTGAACTTCTTCCATTTTCTAATAATTCCGCCAACAGTGTTTGCCTTCTCACCAAGCTGCTTGCCTATTGTCCTGTAGCCCATCCCAGCCTTGTGCAGGTCTACAATTTTATCCCTGATGTCCTTACACAGCTCTCTGGTCTTGGCCGTTGTGGAGAGGTTGGAGTCTGTTTGATTGAGTGTGTGGACAGGTGTCTTTTATACAGGTAACGAGTTCAAACAGGTGCAGTTAATACAGGTAATGAGTGGAGAACAGGAGGGCTTCTTAAAGAAAAACTAACAGGTCTGTGAGAGCCGGAATTCTTACTGGTTGGTAGGTGATCAAATACTTATGTCATGCAATAAAATGCAAATTAATTACTTAAAAATCATACAATGTGATTTTCTGGATTTTTGTTTTAGATTCCGTCTCTCACAGTTGAAGTGTACCTATGATAAAAATCACAGACCTCTACATGCTTTGTAAGTAGGAAAACCTGCAAAATCGGCAGTGTATCAAATACTTGTTCTCCCCACTGTATGTGTGTGTGAAGCATGCGTTTGGATGTACTGTACATTTCTTTTCAGGGCTACATATGCCTGTGTAAATATTGTCTCTGTCCATTCACGTCAGCCCTAAGGCAGTGTGTACCAATTGTTAGCATTGATTTCATTTCTAATTGGCACAACTCACCTCTCCACTGACAGTGATAGCAGATGTGTGGTGCAATTTCTCAGGCAAAATGGCTTGCCCTGGAAACACCCATTGGATACATCCAATCCTTGCATTGTTAGCCTAGCTTGCCTTCCTTATCCCTCACCTATTACCCCTTACCTATTAGCATTAGCATTGTTTCCAAAGATCCTCAACTGTGTTTCATTCCTCAGGGTGTGTGGATTTCTTGGAGCAGCCGGCCATGGCCTTCATCAGGCTGAGTGAGGCGGTGCTGCTGGAGTCGGTCCTGGAGGTGCCGGTGCCGGTCCGTTTCCTCTTTACCCTACTCGGCCCCGCTCAGTCCAACATGGACTATCATGAGATCGGACGCTCCTTCTCCACCCTCATGTCCGACAAGGTAGCCCACCTGAAAAAAAACATATCACACAACTTTTCCCACAATTCTTCTCAGTTGTAAATGGTACAAATAGTACAAACATTTAGGGCTGGTTTCCCAGACACAGATTAAAAGTCCTGGACAAAATTGAAAGTGCTTCTAAAAATCCAGGACTAGGCTTAATCTGGGTCAGTGAAATCAGCCTTTAGAGATCTTATAGACTATTGCTAATCTCTTCAAAACTTCCCCAGAACTTCCATGAGGTGGCCTACTTCGCGGACGACCGGCAGGACCTGCTGAACGGCATCAACGAGTTCCTGGACTGCAGCATCGTTATCCCCCCGTCGGACGTGGAGGGCAAGGACCTTCTAAAGACGGTAGCCTCCTTCCAGAAGCAGATGCTGCGCAAGAGGAAGGAGAGAGAGAACATTAAGAAGGGCCTGACCCACGCCACCCCCGGAACAGGCCAGGAGACCAAAGGTGATCATAATTGTATTTATTTCTTTATTTCGTTTGCAGCCCTTTGGGGTTCCCCAGGAGTAGATTGAAAAACCCAGGCATACTGTATGTGTAACCGTATGTCTGTCTGTCTGTTTCACTGCACTACAGAGGTGAGCCAGGACGAGCAGGAAGTGGAGGACCAGGAGGTGGACCCCATGAAGCGGTCGGGCATCCCCTTCGGAGGCCTCATCCATGACATCAAGCGGCGCTACCCACGCTACGCCAGTGACATCAAAGACGCCTTGGACTCACAGTGCATCGCCGCCGTCATTTTCATCTACTTCGCAGCCCTCTCGCCCACCATCACCTTCGGAGGACTGCTGGGTAAGAGAGCATGGTGGCACATATTTGTTTTCCTTCTACCTCAATGTGATTCAACGACTTTTCAGAACTAACAATGAAATGTTTGCTAGCTGTCCTAAGAGAATGTGTACTCCATAAAGTGCTAGCTAACTAAATAACCAGCTAGCTTGATAGAACACCCCATTGCTAAAAATGTTTGCGACAACATAGCTAGCTGTTTTTCCCATTTCCTTGAACCTCACTGTAGGTTTTAGATACTGATTAGTTCATTAATCTTGTACAATATTCAATACTGTACTCATTAACTAGAAAGTAGCTGTTACTGAATGAGAAGAGACATAAAGGAAGTTTAAAAACTACCGCTCAGTCAATATCCTCCTACCTTTCCAATTAAACAGGAGAGAAAACAGAGGGCATGATGGGAGTGTCTGAGCTCATCATCTCCACAGCGACCCTGGGGGTGCTGTTCTCGCTGCTGGCCGGACAGCCCCTGCTCATCATCGGATTCTCAGGACCCCTGCTGGTGTTTGAGGAGGCCTTCTACAAGGTACCTGAAAATAAACACACTTACAGCAGGGCGATGGTAGATAAGAATCCATCCAAAAATCATGATAATTTAAAGCATTTTAAAAGTGGTCTTGATAACGTTAAAAGGGTTAGATATGTGTATCTAATAGGCTAGTTCATGTTGCACAGCCCATTTGAAAACCCATTTGCCCCTGTTCTGAGCCTATTAAACATCTATTTCACTCTTCCTTTCTCACTCCCTTTCTGCCTCCCTTTCTCCCTTCCTCCCTCCCTTCATCCCTCTCTTCTTCCCTATCTCTCCGTCTCTCTCTCCCTCCCTCTTCCACCCTCAGTTCTGCCAGGCCCAGGGCTTTGAGTACTTGACTGGCCGGGTGTGGATCGGCTTCTGGCTCGTCTTCATAGTGCTGTTGATAGTAGCGGCCGAGGGCAGCTTCTTGGTCAAATACATCTCACCCTTCACCCAGGAGATCTTCGCCTTCCTCATCTCGCTCATCTTCATCTACGAGACCTTCTCGAAGCTCATCAAGGTAAAACCAATGGACAATGTTTTACATGAGGACAGTCTAAGAGGCTGTAACTTTGTTGTGCTTTAGAATAGAATAGAAAATAATAGAATAGAATAGATCAGATGTGGTATTTGGCATATAATATGGGTAGTCCAAGCCGGTCACATGGGATCAGTCCATTTGACAATGAAATGGTTGGGCCTTTTTCCTTCTTCCAGGTATTCCAGGAGCATCCTTTGATGAGAAGCTACCCGCCTGCTCTCAGCCTGCCCGGTATGGACTTCATCAACCCCACAGACCCCGGCGGCCCGGTCCTAAACCAACCCAACACAGCCCTGCTGTCTCTCGTCCTTATGCTTGGCACCTTCTTTGTGGCCTTCTTCCTCAGGAAATTGCGCAATAGTCGCTTCCTGGGCGGGAAGGTAACCTATGGCAGACAATTTCTCAGAAACCCATCATTTGTTTTTTATGGGCTCATTTCAATCAAATGTATAGGTTTTGTTCCATGTGTTTCTGTCTTACTAATAACAATAACAATGTTATCACAAAATGCAGTATAAATATAGGCTTCCTATTTTACACCTACTGTATACAGTATAATCTATACTAGTGACCCTATGATCTGAAGAGTGTTCTGTTTTATCATGTGATCCCCCCAGGCCAGAAGAATCATCGGAGACTTTGGCATCCCCATCTCCATCCTCTTCTCTGTACTGTTGAGTTACTCCATCCCCAACACCTATACCCAGGTAACCATAACTGCCATTGCCAACTCCTACATCTATCCGTATATCTAAAAGCTCCACTACATCCCTGATAACTACAAAAACTCACATACCCGTAACATACACATTTAACATTTAAACAAAGTCACTCACTACAAACTCTCATGTTCTTACTCGTTATAACTTTGCCCTGACTGGTCTTGTTTCTGTTGCTTGTGGTTTTACAGAAGCTGAATGTACCATCTGGTTTCTCGGTCACATCTCCTGACAAGCGGGGCTGGTTCATCAGTCCGTTCGGTGACCAGAAGCCCTTCCCCTTGTGGATGATGGGGGCTTCGGTGGTGCCCGCCCTCCTCGTCTTCATCCTCATCTTCATGGAGACACAGATCACCTCGTAAGTGCTGCCTGTTGCTATGGTAACGTGTGTCACTTTAGAAGTGAAGAGAGGGTCAATTACCATGGTTATGCCAGTCACATTTGTTAGATTAGATTAGGTTGCGATGAGGACATACATGCTGGGTGGGTAACCATGGTGATATCAGTGTAGGGGTTGCTATGGAGAAACCAGTTATAGGTAGGATGGTGTTGTGGAGCAAATCTATAAACAGAGTTGGAGGTACTGCAAGTTCAACAATATCAACTCTCAATTGGCTGCAGGCTATAATGATTAACCAACGGACATTTGTTCCTTCTCTGGCATTTACCAATCAGATTGGAGTAGCGTGAAGAGTAAAGACATTACACAGTCATTACTGACTTCATATCACAGGCACAGAACCAGATACTTTGTGTGTAACAATACTCAACAAATAAGAACATGAAAATAGTGCTTCTTTCTACATGTGGTGACCTGGGCCGCATAAATGAGCTGTGTGTTTGCTTGTGTGTGTGTGAACATACTCACGTTTGTGTGTGTGATTTTGCACATATGTGTTTATACATGTATGTGTGTGCGTAAACATGCATGTGGATATATGTGTGAATATATGTATACAGGTGTGTGTGTGATTTACACCTCCCTTACCCCTTCCTTACCCCCCCTCTCTCTACTCTCCTCCCATCCCCCCATCCTAGACTAATCGTCAGCAAGAAGGAGCGTCACCTGGTCAAGGGATCGGGCTTCCACCTGGACCTGCTGCTCATTGTCACGCTGGGCGCCATGTGCCCTCTGTTAGGCCTGCCCTGGCTCACAGCCGCCACTGTGCGCTCCGTCACGCATGTCAACGCCCTTACTGTCATGAGCAAGGCCACGGCGCCTGGCGAGAAGCCTATGATCCAGGAGGTGAAGGAGCAGCGGGTGACGGGCCTGGTAGTCGCCGTGCTCGTGGGTGAGGAGGATGCTGTTTTTCTGGAAAGGGTTGGATTGGATGTAGGCCCTGGTGTGATGTGAAGGAAGGTGTCATTGATCAAAATCAATTAAAATGTATTAATAAAGCCCTTTGTACATCAGCAGATGATGTCGCAACGTGCATATACAGAAACCCAGCCTAAAACCCCAAACAGCAAGCAATGCAGTTGTAGAAGCACGGTGGCTATGAAAAACTCCCTAGAAAGGCAGGAACCTAGGAAGAAACCTAGAGCGGAACCACGCTCTGAGGGGTGGCCAGTCCTCTTCTGGCTGTGCTGGGTGGAGATTATAAGAGTACATGGCCATTAAGGCCAGATCGTTCTTCAAGATGTTCAAACGTTCATAGATGACCAGCAGGGTCAAATAATAATCACAGTGGTTGTAGAGGGTGCAACAGGTCAGCACCTCAGGAGTAAATGTCAGTTGGCTTTTCATAGCCGAGCATTCAGAGGTCGAGACAGCAGGTGCGGTAGAGAGAGAGAGGGGGGAGGGAGGGAGGGAGAGAGAGAGAGAGGGTCGAAAATAGCAGGTCCGGGACAAGTTAGCACGTCTAGTGAACAGGTCAGGGTTCCATAGCCACAGGAAAAACAGCAAAAACTGGATCAGCAGCACGACCAGGTGGACTGGGGACAGCCAGGAGGCATCATGCCAGGTAGTCCTGAGGCATGGTCCTAGGGTTCAGGTCCTCTGACAGAGAGACAGAAAGAGAGCGAGAGAGAGAGAGAATTAGAGAGAGCATACTTAACAAAGGACAGCAGATAAGACAGGAGAATTTCACCAGATACAGTTGAAGTCGGAAGTTTACATACACTTAGATTGGAGTCATTAAAACTTGTTTTTCAACCACTATACAAATGTCTTGTTAACAAACTATAGTTTTGGCAAGTCGGTTAGGACATCTACTTTGTGCATGACACAAGTAATCTTTCCAACAATTGTTTACAGACAGATTATTTCACTTATAATTCACTATATCACAATTCCAGTGGGTCAGAAGTTTATATACACTAAGTTGACTGTGCCTTTAAACAGCTTGGAAAATTCCAGAAAATTATGTCATGGCTATAGAAGCTTCTGATAGTCTAATTGACATCATCTGAGTCAATTGGAGGTGTACCTGTGGATGTATTTCAAGGCCTACCTTCAAACTCAGTGCCTCTTTGCTTGACATCATAGGTAAATCAAAATAAATCAGCCAAGACCTCAGAAAAATAATTGTAGACCTCCACAAGTCTGGTTCATCCTTGGGAGCAATTTCCAAACGCCTGAAGGTGCCACGTTCATCTGTACAAACAATAGTACGCAAGTATAAACACCATGGGACCACGCAGCCGTCATACCGCTCAGGAAGGAGACACGTTCTGTCTCCTAGAGATGAACGTACTTTGGTTTGAAAAGTGAAAATCAATCCCAGAACAACAGCAAAGGACCTTGTGAAGATGCTGGAGGAAACAGGTACAAAAGTATCTATATCCACAGTAAAACGAGTCCTATATCGACATAACCTGAAAGGTCGCTCAGCAAGGAAGAAGCCACTGCTCCAAAACCGCCATAAAAAAGCCAGACTACGGTTTGCAACTGCACATGGGGACAAAGATCGTACTTTTTGGAGAAATGTCCTCTGGTCTGATGAAACAAAAATAGAACAGTTTGGCCATAATGACCATTGTTATGTTTGGAGGAAAAAGGGGGTGGCTTGCAAGCCGAAGAACACCATCCCAAACGTTAAGCACGGGGGTGGCAGCATCATGCTGTGGGGGTGCTTTGCTGCAGGAGGGACTGGTGCACTTCACAAAATAGATGGCATCATGAGGAAGGAAAATTATGTGGATATATTGAAGCAACATCTCAAGACATCAGTCAGGAAGTTAAAGCTTGGTCGCAAATGGGTCTTCCAAATGGACAATGACCCCAAGCATACTTCCAAAGTTGTGGCAAAATGGCTTAAGGACAACAAAGTCAAGGTATTGGAGTGGCCATCACAAAGCCTTGACCTCAATCCTATAGAACATTTGTGGGAGAACTGAAAAAGCGTGTGCGAGCAAGGAGGCCTACAAACCTGACTCAGTTACACCAGCTCTGTCAGGAGGAATGGGCCAAAATTCACCCATCTTATTGTGGGAAGCTTGTGGAAGGCTACCCAAAACGTTTCTCTCAAGTTAAACAATTTAAAGGCAATGCTACCAAATACTAATTGAGTGTATGTAAACTTCTGACCCACTGGGAATGTGATGAAAGAAATAAAAGCTGAAATAAATCATTGTCTACTATTATTCTGATATTTCACATTCTTAAAATAAAGTGGTGATCCTAACTGACCTAAAACATGGAATTTTTACTTGGATTAAATGTCAAGAATTGTGAAAAACTGAGTTTAAATGTATTTTTGCTAAGGTGTATGTAAACTTCCGACTTCAACTGTAGGACAGACTGACCCTAGCCTCCCGGCACATAGACTATTGCAGTATAGATAGTTGGGCTGAGACGGGGGGAGTCGGGGGACACTGGCCCTGTCCGACGATACCATCTTACAGGGCCAACCAGGCAGGATATAACCTCACCCACTTAGCCAAAGCACAGCCCCCACACCACTTGAGGGATATCAATAGACCTCCAACTTACTACCCTGAGACAAGGCTGAGGATAGCCCACAAAGATCTCCTCCACTGCACAAGCCCGAGGGGATGCAAAACCGGACAGGAAGATCACGTCAGTGACTCAACCCACTCAAGTCGAGTATAGCGAAAAAAGCCTGGCACGACATGACGCACCCCTCCTAGGGACGGCATGGAAGAGCACTAGTAAGCCAGTGACTCAGCCCCCGTAGTAGGGTCAGGCAGAGAATCCCAGTGGAGAGAGAGGAGCCGGCCAGGCAGAGACAGCAAGGGCGGTTCGTCACTCCAGTGCATTGCCGTTCACCTTCACACACCTGGGTCAGACTACACTCAATCATAGGACCTACTGAAGAGATGAGTCTTCAGTAAAGACTTAAAGGTCGAGACCGAGTCTGCGTCTCTCACATGGATAGGCAGACCATTCAATAAAAATGTAGCTCTATAGGAGAAAGCCCTGCTTCCAGCTGTTTGCTTAGACATTCTAGGGACAATTATGAGGCCTGCGTTTTGTGACCATAGCATATGTGTAGGTATGTACGGCAGGACCAAATCAGAGAGATAGGTAGGAGCAAATCCATGTAATACTTTGTCGGTTAGCATAAAACCTTGAAATCAGCCCTAGCCTTAATAGGAGGCCAGTGTAGAGAAGTTAGCAGCGGAGTAATATGATCACATTTTTGGGTTCTAGTCAAGATTCTAGCAGCTGTATGTAACACTAACTGAAGTTTATTTAGTGCTTTATCTGGGTAGCCAGACAGTAGAACATTGCAGTAGTCTAATCTAGAAGTGTCAAAAGCATGGATTCGCTTTTCTGCATCATTTTTGGACAAAAGGCTTCTGATATTTGCAATGTTACGAAGATGGAAAAAAGCTGCCCTTGAAATATTCTTGATATGTTCGTCAAAAGAGAGTTCAGGGTCCAGAGTAACACTGAGGTCCTTCACAGTTTAAGACTGTACAACCATCAAGATTAATCTTGGGTTGTCCGAGAAGTTATAGCTCATCTTTTGATAATCCTTGGTTGGGGTCTGATCAGATTATTTGTTGTGAGTGCAAACGTAATAAGATAGTGGTCCGATAGTCCAGGATTATGAGCAAAAAACATTTAGATCCACAATATTTATTCCACGGGACAAACCTAGATCCAGGTCCGGAGACATGTTGGACAAAACCCACTGAGTCGATAATGGCTCCGAAAGCCTTTTGGAGTGGGTCTGTGGACTTTTCCATGTGAATATTGAAGTCACCAAAAATTTGAATATTATCTGCCATGACTACCGATAGGAATTCAAGGAACTCAGTGAGGAACACTGTATACGGCCCAGGAGTCCTGTAAACAGTAGCTTTAAAAAGTGATTGAGTAGGCTGCATAGATTTCATGACTAGAAGCTCAAAAGACAAAAACGCAGTCATTTTTATTTTTTATTTTGTACATTTGTTGTCGTAAATGTTAGCAACATCTCCGCCTTTGCGGGATGCACGGGGGATATGGTCACTAGTGTAACCAGGAGGAGAGGCCTCATTTAACACAGTAGATAGTGGTCCATTCTGAGGCGTCTTTGAATATGGTATATTGTAAGGTGTACTGTACCGTTGAGACTCAGCAATGTAACATGGACAGCAAACTAAGAAATAGGAAAATAAACAGTTAATGAGTTGATAGAGACTATATTCTGATACCAGAGGTGTAATTTATCTGTGTATATAGCTTTCTCTATGATTAAAACTAACAGACCTTGTATTTACATTCTTGTTTGGTGTTACACCTGAACTAATCACTCGTGGACAGTCTATGTAAGTATAACCAAATTCCGCATGATTTTAGCTCCGGGTTAACCGAGATTACAGATGAACTGGCTCAGCTGATCTCAATTCAACCACTCTACAGATCCCCATGCGACCTGGATCTCACACATTTGACCTTTCACCTTTGACTTGTGTTTTCCCAAGGCATGTCTATCGTGATGACGGACGTGCTCCGTAACATCCCACTGGCCGTGCTGTTCGGGATCTTCCTCTACATGGGCGTCACGTCGATCACCGGCATCCAGCTCTACGAGCGCATCACACTCATGTTCACCCCCGCCAAGCACCACCCCGACCACATATACGTGACCAAGGTGAGCCCAATAGCAGAATATGAAGGAGAGTCTACTCAACCTCTGTTTTTGTTATAGATTTGTGCCCAAGTCTGGTTTGGTATCCTGGTTTTGTTTGTTTGTTTGTGAGTTTATTTGTGCATGATGTGGGACTTAAGTGGGATTGTGTGTGTGGACTTAATTTGCAATCAAATGATAAAAGGATGAAGTTGACCCTAGACATTGATCTAATGTCAGTTTTGCGATAGGTAAGTATTTGATCCGTGTCTGGTCAGGTGCAGGCTGTCAATGTTAGTAAAAGACAGAAGGGGATCCACCCACTAGATGGAGCTCAATCCATCTAATTCTATATAACAAATTCAATAGGTAGGGTAACAACTCCTAACTCTGTGACAGGATGGGACTGAATTATGCCAGAGTCAAAGACTGTTCTATAACATGTATTTACATTGAGTTACAAAACACATTAGGAACACCTGCTCTTTTCATGACATAGACTGACCAGGTAAATCCAGGTGAAAGCTATGATCCCTTATTGATGTCACCTTGATTAAATACACTTCAATCAGTGTAGATGAAGGGGAGGGGACAGGTTAAAGAAGGATTTTCAAGCCTTGAGACAATTGAGACATGGATTGTGTATGTGTGCCATTCAGAGGGTGAATGGGCAAGACAAAATATTTAAGTGCCTTTGAACAGAGTATGGTAGTAGGTGCCAGGTGCACCGGTTTGAGTGTGTCAAGAACTGCGACGCTGCTGGGTTTTTCACGCTCAACAGTTTCCCATGTGTATCAAGAAAGGTCCACCACACAAAGGACATCCAGCCAAATTGACACAATTGTGGGAAGCATTGTAGTCAACACGCTTTCGACACCTTGTAGAGTCCATGCCCCGATTAAGGGGTTCTTAATGTTTTGTACACTCAGTGTCTGTCTATCTCGTCTCTATGAACAGTATGTGTTAATTGTCCTGCCCAGAACATTATTCCTAAACAAATTAATTTAAATAAAATAGGAATTCAATTCATTTCAATTGTGGGTAACGCTGTACTTAAAGCCTGCAGGTATGATGCATTGTAAGACTTGTCATAAGCATGTATAACCCCCCATTTTTGTGTGTGCGTGGGCCGCAGGTTAAGACGTGGCGTATGAACATGTTCACCATCATCCAGGTGGCCTGCATTGTGCTACTGTGGGTGGTCAAGTCGACGGTGGCCTCGCTCGCCTTCCCCTTCATCCTCATCATGACCGTGCCGCTCCGCCGTCTCATCCTCTCCCGGATCTTTGAGGAGCGTGAGCTCCAGGCGGTAGGTGGACATTCCTGAAATTCTCTGAATTCTGGCACAATCATCTGGTCCAGGCAACATTGGGTCACACGTTACAAGTAGTAGCACGGATGTCCTGTATTCGCAGGGAATTTGTGTTTATTTGTGAAAGGTGCATGCTATATTACACAGTACTTTAATTCAGTTAACAATACAATTTTAAAATATTTATCTCGTCGAAGTCAAGGCTCCAAACTACATGATCTAAATGAAAACATCAACATAAACAGGATGCAGGGGTCCTGGAGAACAGACTTTGACAATGACAGAATTGTGGGTTAGATTCCTGGGACCAGCCACATGTAAAATGTATGCACGCATGACTGTAAGTCACTTTGGATAAAAATGTCTGCTAAATGGCATATATTATTATTATTATATTATTGTTTCACTATATTGGCCAAAGCATCAAGACACTAATCAAATGAATCAAGATGCTGATGACATCCCAACATCTCTCGCTCTCCACAGCTCGACGGGGAAAACGAGGACTCCCCCAACTTTGACGAGGATGGTCGGGACGAGTATAATGAGATTCACATGCTTGTGTAGACGGCCCAATAGGCTCTCTCCATCTTCCAACGCCTACCAATCACGAGCAAGCTTCTTATTATGTCTGGGTAGCTGTGTCATGAAAACATTCAGATGATGGTAGGATTTTCGTCCAACAGAGATACCTTATGTATATATACTGTATATACATATATTATATATTCAAATTCTACTGTACTTTGATCAAAAAATGCTGTAAAGGAATAACCCCACTGTTATAATTTGTTTCTGTTTTTCCTGCTACAACATTGTTTTTTCTCTCAAAGACGTCAGTAGCGCTACTGCCCTACTGTTGCTGAGCGTGTCAGGAATCCTCAAGTATGTGCCATGGACATTGCACCTTTTAAACACAGACCAATAATTCATAAACACTTGTCCCCACACAAACCCTGGACATGGGTTCTTCCCCTTCCTTTTAACGGTCAAGCTCTCTACAGGTTCCGGGCGTAAGTGCAATGACAACAACCCCAAGTACTCCAGTCGGTTGGTTTTCCCTCCCAGTGTTGGAGTCCCATTTATTTGGGGCACCGGTGGAATGAACACTAGTTGTATGACAGCCACACTGGTTTCACTGGGAGCCAATACTCCACTGCCTCCGCAGCGTAACTGCCTTTTTACCCTTCTTCGTACTGTAGCCATTGTCAGTGGAATTTGATGACGACGTTAACCAAACAGGGAGTTCGGCATTCCCTTTTATTTATTTTCACTGTGTGCACTTGCTTTAGTTGTGTGCTCCTCACAGGATTTGTTCACCTTTGACCTTTGCGATTCACCTGCACTGCCACACCAGTTCCCTTATCCAAGAACAGAAGATACATTCGATGACCCCTCTCAATATAGTTCTCCCTGAAACTAAGATACAGTACATGAGGACTTAAATGTTCGACCTACCTATTTACTTTTGTTTTTTGTTATTTGCCAAAATTGTATGAAGCCATATTGACATGTGGGATGCATTCTAAATGCATGTTAGTTGGAGGAATTTGCAATTATTAACATTATTCAAAAACCTTTGCCACGGTCACTGGAATTATACCACAGGTATCAAAATCACTGTATAGCACCACTGTCATTGTGTACTTCCATGTTCTGTAGGCAACTGTTGGATGTGAAGGGTACTATAGCATCAGGTAAAACAAACCTTTGAAATGCAAATAGATCATTGACCATTGGTTTTGTGTCCCTGTTGTGTACACAAATCAGTCAAGGAAATATTTAAAATTATACACACAGGTGGTTCAGAAGTGATTACAGTAAATACAACTTAGCATGTGCTTAACATGTACAGTGACAGGAATGGACTCTTTACCCCAAGGTTCAAGTTTATACCCCACACAGAATGTTTGTCTGTCTGTTTAAAATGGACTACGTTATCATGAACTGTGCTGCAGAACCATAGGTTCAAATTGATACACGTGAAGTGGAGGCCATGTTTCAAATATTGAAGCATCTGCTGAATTTGAGGAAATTATTTATTATATAATATGATACTGTTTATATTTTATAGACCCCACTAGAGAAATGTAACATCACCTGTCTTATTGACTCTTGTACAAACACTACACTCTTAGAAAAAAGGGTTCCAAAATAACGCCAAGGTAGTGGGTTCGATCCCCGGGACCACCCATACACAAAAAAAAAAAATGTATGCACGCATGACTGTAAGTCGCTTTGGATAAAAGCGTCTGCTAAATGGCATATTATATTATTATTATTATTATAATATAACATGCCATTTAGCAGACGCTTTTATCCAAAGCGACTTACAGTCATGTGTGCATACATATTTACGTATGGGTGGTCCCGGGGATCGAACCCACTACCCTGGCGTTACAAGCGCCATGCTCTACCAATTGAGCTACAGAGGACCACAGAGGACCTTACAAAGAAAAGGGTTCTTTGCGGAGGGATAGGGTTCTACCAAGAACCGTTTTGATCTGAAGATCCCTTTTTGGAAGACAAGGATTCTTTGTAAGGCAAAGGGTTCTACCTATAACCTTTAACATTCTAAGGACCATTTTTGGAGGAAAGGGTTATTTGATAATTCTTTGGAAGGCAATAAGGATTCTTTGGAAGTCAAGAAGGGTTCTTCATAGAACCATACAGTGGGGGAAAAAAGTATTTAGTCAGCCACCAATTGTGCAAGTTCTCCCACTTAAAAAGATGAGAGAGGCCTGTAATTTTCATCATAGGTACACGTCAACTATGACAGACAAATCCAGAAAATCACATTGTAGGATTTTTAATGAATTTATTTGCATATTATGGTGGAAAATAAGTATTTGGTCACCTACAAACAAGCAAGATTTCTGGCTCTCACAGACCTGTAACTTCTTCTTTAAGAGGCTCCTCTGTCCTCCACTCGTTACCTGTATTAATGGCACCTGTTTGAACTTGTTATCAGTATAAAAGACCCCTGTCCACAACCTCAAACAGTCACACTCCAAACTCCACTATGGCCAAGACCAAAGAGCTGTCAAAGGACACCAGAAACAAAATTGTAGACCTGCACCAGGCTGGGAAGACTGAATCTGCAATAGGTAAGCAGCTTGGTTTGAAGAAATCAACTGTGGGAGCAATTATTAGGAAAAGGAAGACATACAAGACCACTGATAATCTCCCTCGATCTGGGGCTCCACGCAAGATCTCACCCCGTGGGGTCAAAATGATCACAACAACGGTGAGCAAAAATCCCAGAACCACACGGGGGGACCTAGTGAATGACCTGCAGAGAGCTGGGACCAAAGTAACAAAGCCTACCATCAGTAACACACTACGCCGCCAGGGACTCAAATCCTGCAGCGCCAGACGTGTCCCCCTGCTTAAGCCAGTACATGTCCAGGCCCGTCTGAAGTTTGCTAGAGTGCATTTGGATGATCCAGAAGAGGATTGGGAGAATATCATATGGTCAGATGAAACCAAAATAGAACTTTTTGGTAAAAACTCAACTCGTCGTGTTTGGAGGACAAAGAATGCTGAGTTGCATCCAAAGAACACTATACCTACTGTGAAGCATGGGGGTGGAAACATCATGCTTTGGGGCTGTTTTTCTGCAAAGGGACCAGGAAGACTGATCCGTGTAAAGGAAAGAATGAATGGGGCCATGTATCGTGAGATTTTGAGTGAAAACCTCCTTCCATCAGCAAGGGCATTGAAGATGAAACGTGGCTGGGTCTTTCAGCATGACAATGATCCCAAACACACCGCCCGGGCAACGAAGGAGTGGCTTCGTAAGAAGCATTTCAAGGTCCTGGAGTGGCCTAGCCAGTCTCCAGATCTCAACCCCATAGAAAATCTTTGGAGGGAGTTGAAAGTTTGTGTTGCCCAGCGACAGCCCCAAAACATCACTGCTCTAGAGGAGATCTGCATGGAGGAATTGGCCAAAATACCAGCAACAGTGTGTGAAAACCTTGTGAAGACTTACAGAAAACGTTTGACCTGTGTCATTGCCAACAAAGGGTATATAACAAAGTATTGAGAAACTTGTGTTATTGACCAAATACTTATTTTCCACCATAATTTGCAAATAAATTCATTAAAAATCCTACAATGTGATTTTCTGGATTTTTTTTCTCATTTTCTCTGTCATAGTTGACGTGTACCTGTGATGAAAATGACAGGCCTCTCTCATCTTTTTAAGTGGGAGAACTTGCACAATTGGTGGCTGACTAAATACTTTTTTTCCCCACTGTATATCATACAGGATTTCCCAGCAAGCTCTAGGTAGAACCATATACAGGGGGTTCTATGACAAACCCTACATAAAAGGGTTCTACCTAGCACCAAAAAGGGTTTCCCTATGGGGACAAACCGAAGAACCCTATATGGTTCTACTTAGCACCTTTTTTTCTAAGAGTGTAGATACTGGGATTGCAATGGCATGTTGTGTATGTACAACCTACTTAGCCCCACCATGTGAGACTTATTGAATGTATAGGCCTATATGGTAAGTTTCCAGGGATGTTGTTTTGATAGTCTTTACTTTGTCTGCACTGTCTCTTCCGCTGCTCTGTTAAACTGGAGGTATGCTAGTGTCAACTTGGCTTCTGAAGGAATGACTTAAGTCAATAGAATCTCAGACCAAAGTGGTCGTGCTTTGCTCTGGGCTTGGTGTAAGAGACAGCTACTGGCAGTGCGTTTGGCATGTCAAAGGCAAAAGGTATCGCGGTTACCATGGCGGCAGACATGCCGCTTACCCAGAAATGGGAAAAGGGCAAGGGGGGCAAGGGGAGAAAGTCAAAAGGTCTTTGTTGTTTGAGAACACGGGCTTGCTGGTGTGTTGAGGGCTACCAGAGATCCCCATGGCCCTGTAGTGGGGGGAGGGGGGATAGATAGGCCTACACTCAGCAAAACAATCACTCAGTCACTGGGAAAAAAAGAAAGAATTGGAAGTGTGGTTATTATTCAAGATAATAAAAAGGTATAGTGTTGCCACTTTCTTCTGTTCTGTCTGGATTCCTTAAGTTTTGGAACAGGGACATGAAAATAAAATAGTTATAGGCCCGTGAAAAAGGCCTGGCATGTTAGACGTTGGGAATCCACAACGTTTTGTCGCCTGATACCTCCATGCTAGCACAGACCAGACCACCCACCCACCCAAAATCTAGGAATATAGCGTTGTTATTTTTGAACCGCCGTTACCTACACTCCTCTCGCTTGAAGTCTCTGGGACTTTTTTTTATTTTATTTGATTGGATGACTAGGACATTTGTGAAGGCCATTAAGAAATACTGTAGACAATCAGAAATGTATGCAATTAGATTGCCTGTATATCTTTGTTATGTATCTACCCTCATAAGTAATATGATAGCACCGCTAACCCTGCGGCAACATCCTATTGTATGTCTAGTTTTTTTCATTTGAATTAATGGGTCATTCCTAACTTGTCCTCCAAGTTTGCACCATGTAATGCATATAAAGTTATAAAGGTGAAGGTCCCCTTTAAAGGGATAGTTGGAGATTTTGGCAATGAAGCTATGAGCTAGTTACCTCAATGCTAACTAGCGTTAACACAATGACTGGAAGTCTACTGGAACAGTTAGCATGCTAGCTGTTCCTGTAGACCTCCAGTCATTGTGCTAATGCTAGTTAGCATTGACTCGCAAAATTACCTTTAACTGCCTGCAGAGACATAAAAATGATATCCACTAGTTCATCTGACTCTGGGGAAGTAGATAAAGGGCTTCATTGTCAGGCAGGTGAATTTTACTTTAATTGACGGTCTTGTGGCATTTAAAGGATTTCCTGCAGCTCACTTGTTATGAAGCACTTATGACATATCCCTCAATGAAGGACAATGTCTTTAGTGTCACTCTTAAGAAGGTGAGTATGGTTTATACATGCTATACCTGTGTTAAAATCAGCCTGAAGCCATGTCACACACAAATATAGAGACACACACACACAAACAAATATAAGTCTTTCTGCTCTGAAAACGATACCTGATAAAGTGGGGTTTGTCTGTCTGAGAAAAAAAAAGTATGTGAGTTCATTTTATGGTAAATTATAAATGACTTTAGCATTAGCAATACTGAAAGATACTTATGTTATGTGGATACTTGAATAGTGGTTCAGCCTGTTATTATTGTAAAGGGGTTTTCAAACTACTGTAAAACAAATTGTTATTTTTTTGTCTGAAAATAAATATTTATTATGTGTTTCAAATAAATCTATTAACTTTTTATTCCAAACTTATGTAAGTAGATAACAATGTATTACAACACTATAAGTACCATTGTTCAACATACAATATATGGGTGTGCAAAAATGTGTTTATTAATGTAAAACAGACATCCAACTTACTGTTTGCTTCGTCTAGTGTGTCTCACGTGAAAGTGTATTTTGTGTGTGTGTGCATTTGTAAGATTTGTCCACACAAGAGGGTTGGCTCTCAGAGCCCAGTGGATGTGTTGCAGGTGGTAAGGTGGACACACGACAGGGGGAGGAGCAGAGTGGTGATGATACAAGGCAGAATCAGCAACATCAGGACAGCGAAAGCCGGGTCCTCCACACGCGAGCAGAGTGAGAAGAACATCTGGTGCACCTCTAGGAAGATGTCATCCTTCAGTGAAGGCTCCACACACCTGGTAATGGTGGCCACTTCATCCACACAGTGCTTCAACATGATGTAGGAGCTGAGGGTGAAAAGGAGTAAAAACTATGTTCCATTTCCCTACTTCTCTCCATTCCTTTTAGTGGGGAGTGAACAAGTGCACACTTCAGGAAGAAAGGGGACAGAAATGGGCCGGAGCCACTGTCAAAACAGACTAATAAAAGTAGCATGTACTAAACAGCCTGGACTACTGTGAACCAATCTCTCAAATTTCAGGGTGTAACCGGTCGTTCTGTTCCCCGTGTTAAAGAGACACCACCCTAACACACCATTTAGCTCTCCAGGGCTTGGGCCCCGCAGGCGATGTCAACAGTAATATATGGATTATTACAGTGTAATTAATGGGCTAGCACTACATCTTCACTCTGAACAAACATGTGATGTCGGAGAAATACGAGCGGGAGCAGTGTGGCTAGCCATGTGCACTAGGCTACCCCCCAACATTTTTAATTAGCTCAAAACCTGAAGTAACACAAAAAAAAACCTGGAGACAGGAAAAGTCGGACTTTCCCATGACTAAAGGTCGTATATCTTCCCCGAAAGAGCCGTTAAAAATGGTCATACGCGGCTATACTTATCCCTTTCCTCTGTTCTCACTCACTCATCAGCCATGAAGATGTCATTGTGAGCTCAGGAGCTCAGAGGCTGCTCCCCCCCCCCCCCCCCCCCAGATGTGAAGGGTGGCGCAGACAGCAACGATTAACGTGCACCTCAGGCCGTCAACATACAATAGGCAGGAAGGCTAGAGGCAGGTCAGGTTGCACCAAACCCCACTGTTGTAGGGGGACACACTCACCCTTTAAAGGTGGGCCAGGGACACCTGTGCTGATAATTGCTAGCTTCCATGCTCTGGTTGAAGTTCGGGAGGCAGTAACCGTGCACGTAGTGGTCGAACTTGAGCCTGTTGCACGGTGCAACGTAGCCTCCCTCGCTAAGCCCTAGAAAAAAACAAGAGTTGGTGAAAAGTAAATACATTGTGACAGCAGACCCATTTCTCCCAACTCCCAATGTATTAGAACATAAGATAAAAAAACATCAACCATTCAATAGAACTGAAAAGTATAGGCAGTGGGTTGGTGATTTCATGTCTGTAAATGGCTGTGTCTACAAACAAATTATGTTTCATATAAATCACAGACCATTACGGAGAGAGGGAAGAGGCGGTGAAATATTCCACTGTCTCGCATGCCTCTTTCAGTACTACTGAATCAGTAGACACTAGTTAGAATGTGTTTTCCATTATTTTTAGGTGGTATAAAAACTAACAGCGAAACGACTGTTGGACCACAAAGCTCTTCTATTTGGAATAGGACAGTTTGGAGATATACTGCCTTCTCCGCCACTTTTAATGGCATTATATCCATTACTGATGAATATGTTTTTGCTGTAGCATGACAATTAGAGGACTAGACTGCTGTAGACACTGCTGTAGCAGGATTAAAATTCAACTGTGTTCTTAAAAGAATGGCATTGAAAAGTAGGTTGGAGGACCAAGTCAGGCAAAGTAGTGTAATTGTTGCTCACGTGTTAAGGCCATGAGGATCACAATAAGGCTGGTCAAAATGGTCTGTCGATTCTCCATCTGTCAGAAATAGATACTGTCCATAGTCAATCAGACAATGACAATTCAGTAATGGCAATACATAATGTTTGCACCTGCAACTACATATCAGGTGTGCAGATAGTGTGTCCTACTGAGTATCATCACCATCAACATGTTGCTCCCCACCATTTGATCTTCTAGATTACAAGGCAAATGTAAAGTAAACGGCTCAGGCTGGCATCATTAAGACCATATGGTACACTAGCAATATGGTTGAAAACCGGCTGATGCCAGAACCAGGCTACAAATAACTACATTACAGTCTAGCAAATCCATGCCAGCAACTGCTTTTACTCATAATGTTCCCTCAACCCGTGGCAGACACATGGCACTTTAAAAAATGACTTATTAATCCATGCCTTGCCTAGCCAAATAAACACTTCACTTCCCCCTCAATAATCAACAAAAAATGGCTACCATACTTTTGGTGCAGATAAGAGTGACTCAAATGGATAATGGCTTGTCGTGTTGTTTATTTCTTTAGAAATTGATGACTGACGAGGAAGAGAGAACATCCGCTTAAGTTCTGATATTATTGAAATATCAAGTTGCTTTGTATTGTTTGATACTAAACATTTCTATTCTTATCTTTAACAGCTGGTAAAAAGAGAATGGCCAGATGTTTACTGTATATTTTCTAAATTAATGAATTTATCTCTTGGGACATGGGAGTCACTGAAAACAGATGTGGAGAGGACTGCAGCCAAATGTACTATCTGAATGTTCTAATATACGGGTTGTGTCCACGTACACTGTCAAAACTGATACAGTGGATGGATTTGTCATTTAAAGCTAATAGTTATACTGGGAGTTGTGAGTAGATATACAAACACTTTGTCCATGAATTCCACCTATGATCCTTCATCAATCAACACCAAACAATTAGTTAAAAAGTACAGCAATTGACTGCACCCAGCCGATTTACTTGAGTAAAAGTACAAAGTAAGTGCTATACATAACATTATTTATATTAAGCAAACCAGACGGCACAATTTTCTAGTTTTTTTAATTTATGAACAGACAGGGGCACACTCCAACACTCATTTATAAACGCACTGTTGTGTTTAGTGAATCCGCCAGATCAGAGGCAATAGGGACGACAAGGCATTGTATTAATAGGTGCGTAAATTGGACAATATTGCTGTCCTGCCTGAGCATTCAAAATGTAACGAGTACATTTGGGTGTCAGGGAAAATGTATGGGAGTAAAAGGTAAATCTTTTCTTTAGGAATGTAGTGGAGTAAACTAAAGTACATATACACAACAACAACAAAAACTACTTAAGTAGTACATTCAAGTATTTTTACTTAAGTACTTTACACCACTGGGCACATACCTTGACTTATATCTGTACATTAATTCATCTTCTGTCCCTGGGAAGGTCACACGCAAAATCTGTAGCCCAGTCGGTCTCCTGTGAAGTAGAGTCGCTGCTGAAAACCAACTAACCGAGGAAACAGTTGCACGGCTGCTGCGATCGAGAACCCCTTTGGCGATTCAGGGTCTTATCAGTCAGTGTGACTGGGAGTTGTGCTTACGCAATCATCCAGCTTTAAACCATTGTCAGGCTGCTTCTTTTCCCATGCTTCTATTCTTAACCCCATGTTCCAGCTATTCCCAAGTGAAATGGGCAAGCAGGCCTTACATTTTGGTATGTTAAAATGTACAGTATATGAATGTTGGGGTGGGGTGGGGGGCCTAGATGGGAGAAGAAGGGATGGGGAGAGAGGGTACAGGCTTGGTGATCCGCTCTCTACCCCTGACCAGCAACATGTACTGGGGTAACCAACACATACTGTACACCAGACAGATACAGACAGCACACATACAGTGACCACAACACATCCCTATTGTAGGCACATAGACGTGCATACAGACACACACAGACACAGAGACAATACGCACACGCACAAGCACACACAGACAACATCCAATATAATCGTTTTGTTAAGCTGTAAATTGATGACCCAGTTCCACTAAAAAAGTCACCCTCCCCTCATGTCCATATAGTTTTGTTTCAAGCATCGTATTACTGTTCTATATTACCTAAATACATTGGACAGTACGGAGAGGCAATATATTTATCTGAGAGTAACACAGTGTTAAGTTTTCACCCCCCTACTGATATTTCCTAAGTAATTACATGCCATAAATCTGCTCCCAGACCATCTCTTGACCCCTCTGTGTCTCCAGGCTAATAGGAAGCCACAAGACAATGGGTAGTAGTGTAGTAGTGTAGTGTTGTTGTGTGTCATAAGTAAAACCATGTGAATTGTGACATTTTATATGATCTAAATCGGCCCAAGATCTATCTGCAGTAGTGGATGAGAAAAGATACGGTGTGTCTACAGTTTAATTGAATTTTACGCTACGACCGCCACCATCATTGCATTACGTTTTATTGGATTGTCTATTATGAGAGATATATTTCATGCACACACAGCATTAGGCAAGTTGTTTCTCAACACACATACCACACTGACAGATATGGATTAAGTCGTATTACGCTCCCAAGAGTTTCTCAATCCTGATACTGGAAGGTACCAAACGCAACCCAATCCTTCAATCAAGCAAAAAGTTTACTTGTAATGATAAATCTCTCTGTAGTCAATATGCTCCACAGAAGCCTTTAAAATATAACTTAACCGTCTCATTTATTTTTAAACTCTCAATAATTCAAATGTTTCTAATTCTGTGACTTTTTACTAGTAGTAAAATATTATCATGTCCTAAAACTTAAGAGAAAAAGGAAAAGTGAAAGGGGACAACACTCAGTCGTTGTTTTTGATCGACTACTATACCCAAAGGAGCAGTACTGCTATGTGAAATAGCCACATTCACTCATGAGCCTATGTTTATGTCCATGCCTGTCTGTCTCTTTCTTTACCTTCTAAAACACTGCTAACCGACGTAGAGCTGTGTAAACAGAAAAGCTTTTAGAAGTCCTGCAAACTGTGACACTCGCCTCTCAACACGTTGACAGGGCCCAGAGCCAGTGCAATAGGAGTGACTTATAGCTATCACACCCCTTTGTCATTGCTTAATGACAGCATGTTTAAGCCTATGGTTGCCAGAGTGTGGAAGACATATTTATGGCTTGGCAGCCACTAGCACAAGAATATAGTCCACTCCGTATGTACTGTATGTCAATGTTATTCTTAAATCCCAAAAGGTAATGTGTCCCAAAAGGTAATGTGATCTGTTCCATAAACTATGAAGCATATTAATTAAATGTCAATTTGAAGTGTCCAAACAACTTTGAAAAAGGCACTGTTTAGGGTTGTATGGCTGTGGCAGTAGTTGTTTCCTAGGAGAGAGTGGTTTAACTTTTCCATAAGTCTCTCTTGTTCTAATAACATCTCGGGTCTCAGGACAATTTTCTGGAATGCAGCACTCTGGGAATGTTCCCGAGATGGATTGAAGAATGACAAGAGGCCTGGATTGCAGATCACAACTGTCAGAATGTTCTGATGAGCATCCAGCCCTACCACGGTAAGTCATGGACACAAACAGAGGCTAAGACACACACGCACACACACACACACACACACACACACACACACATACTTACTTATAACGTGCTGCCTTTCTAATTCATTTTTTTAAGCCTAATTGCCACTGTTCCTCATGAAGCCTTTAGACTTGGAGGCCCCCACTTTCTTTACAATTAAACAAGCAATTAAAGCAAAGCTGGACAATTTCCCCCTCAAACCTTTGATCTCATCAGTCAAATGGTTTGTTTTGGGTGTTAGCTTTCGTCCAAACAGCGCCCTTCTCTTCACTCTGCTCCTTTCAATTAAACTCAAGAATGAGCAATGGAAAATTTGAACACCATTGTGCGGTGTTTCATTTGCCTTGACTAGACGACCACTTGAAAGATGAATATTTCAGGAGTCCTGTGAAAATACCTTTCAGCACCCCCATCACGTATTTTTTCCCTAAGTGCAAAATGTAATGATTCAACGATTTCGCAAATGCACATCCATCTCGAGCTGCTAGGCAACATACACATAATATAATAATCAATTAGCGACTTGTGAAATGTGCAGGAATGGTCATATGGAAACATTTCCATTTCACTTAGTTGTCGGCATAATATTGTTAGTGTTAGGGCAAACATACAGATGGCACAGGGTCCGCACTGAAAAGGCTTGTTTGTGAAAGTGAAAGAATGTGTTGTTTGGACATTGTGTCTCATTGGTGTAATGGAAAATGTTGCATCAGATTGGTGCTGCTAGACGGGAAAGCAGAAGCCATGGATAACCTGTACACCTGCCTCAAGAGAGAGAGTGCCTCCTTCCAGGACCATGTCCAACACTGTAAACACTCCTTCAACATGGATGCTCTTCAGTCAGTCTTGTGTGCCCTGACCACAAAACAGCAGGATGAAATCAACAGCTTGGAGCAGCTGTGGGTTCTCCTCTCCGAGGTTACAGAGGTGCCTGTGGTGGCAGTCAGTGGCTACAGAGGCTCGGACACAAAACCTGGCTTCTCTCTTTCGTCTAACATCTGGGCGCCATGAAATAAACCTGTGGCGAGAAAGTGGAAGTCCCTCTCTGCGAGAACCTGTACGTTATTGACGAAGATGAGCACACTGCCACTTCTTCTGATTGGACTGTCCCTTTGAACTCTGACCCTCAAGGCCCGCCCCCTACGTCTCTGACCAAGGTGGCCAATGAGCTCCTTGTTCCCCCGACGCAGATGGGCTTTGATCCTTGTCCCTGGTCCAATCAAGACAGAGAAGTTCAGTCTACTGAGTGGTTCATCAAGGTCCAATGGCTTGTACCGGATATCCTCTATAAGAGCTCTAGGGCTGCCCGACTTGCTATCAGTGGGTAGACCTGCACCAGCATTGACACAGGGGTAGGAGAGTAGGGTGTGGTGGGTTGAAGGTTATCCAGATAGCCCCAAAGAGGTCTACCTCAGCATGTCCTGGTTGTGGTAGAGAGGGGAGGGGAGGGAATGGCCGGAGAGGCCCAAGCCAGACTGAGGAAGTCTAGGATGGAGCTTATGGCTTTGGCCGGGAAAGAGCAGTGGGTGCTAGCTCTGGAGGTGAGGTTACAGAAGGCCACCTACAGGATCCAGGACCTCCAGGCCAAGCTCCGACAGGAGAGGCTGATGTTAGAACATGAGGCCCAGTAGGAGGCCACTGAGGTGGGGGAGCGGAAAGCAAAGGAGCTGGGCCTCAACCAGAGTCTGGAGCTGGAGAGGAGGCTGAGGATGGAGAGGTACCATTGGAGGATATTGCTGGGAGACCCGCTGATGGAACTTGAGATTCACCCAGTTCTCATACGCTACACTGATATGGTGAGCGGAGAAGTGAAACAGATCATTCACATTTTATCTAGCTAGTATCAAATAAAATACAATTGTATTTGTCACATGCGCCAAATAGAAACAGTGACTTACTTACGAGCCTTTTCCCAACAATGCAAAGTTAAAAAGTAAGAAAAATTTGCTCAATAAAAAAAGGAAATAGTAACACAATAAAATAACAATAACAAGGCTATATACAGTATATGGTATCCATACAAGGATCGCCTCAGAGTCACAATGAGTTGGTGTCAACCTCACAGGGAGCTGTCAGCCTCATGCTGTCCTAATATGGACACCATAGGTTTAAGCATCTGTCAGTGTTCTAGTCTACTATATTCCCTGACTTTGAGGTGAGGGATTGGTGCAGACAGCAGGAGGAGACTCTACGGGCCATAGAGGGCGGTAAGGGCAGCAGGTTCCCCCCTGAGAGTGCCCTTTCCAGCCTGCTAGCCTCAGCCTCTCCATCCAGTGCATCCATCTCCTCTAGCATGTTCTCCCTCAGATAGAAACACAGCAAGAGGCTTTCATCTTGGGGTACCAGTTCAGGTCCGTCCCTTGCCCATATTTCCTGGGTGGAAGGAGTCCTTTATCCATGGGCCTCCAGATCGATACCCAACCCAACACATGGATTGTCGCCTGGGGGATGCCTCCTGATGAATCCTGGACAAAGCTCCAGCCTCACATAAGGTCCCTCAGAAGTGATACCACCCATATTTGATTTAGTTTCTTGGCTTGTCATTTTTTAAAATCCACCTAATTTAGTCAATGATGAACACACACACACATATGCATGTACGATTGCAAATTGTGTTTATACCCGGTACAACATTTTTGCGACTGAGACATTCTCTATTAATATTTAACTACAGTAGGGACGGTCCTTAACCCAGTTTGGTCAGTAACACAAGCCAGTAAAAAAAAACTATGAATGTCCCAAGAGAGCACAAACACACTTTTGTGTCCTCTCCTTATGGAAAAAACACATGATTTCACATTTGAAATTTCACATGTGAAATCAAATCAAATTTTATTTGCCACATGCGCCGAATACAACAGCTGTAGACATTACAGTGAAATGCTTACTTACAAGCCCATAACCAACAATGCAGTTTAAGAAAAAAATAAAAAGAGCAAATCATTAAAGAGCAGCAGTAAAATAAAATAACAGTAGGGAGTGACAAGCATGAGGTGGCGCACACCTAAACAAGTTAGTAGAGGTGCTGACTAACGGCGAGTAAACTT